GAAAATCATTTAACCAAGGCAAACTCACGTTTATCCTTTCACTAGAGGCAAAATTCACACCTGGTGTACTTTTTGGCGGTGTGCTTTTTGGCTCTTGGGTATATTTTTAAATATTAACAATATAGAACATTTGTAGGAAGTACAGGAATTACATTTTTTTCAATATATTAAATGATTGTGTAACAACTAGCCTTTCAGTGACTTTAAATTCTGTAACCCTTCTTATTTGGAGGTTTTTCCACATCCTGTTAGATAATACACTTTGTATTTGTTGATAGGAGAAGGTATCTGTGAAAAAGTATGCTTCAGAAATAATAACAAAAAAACCTAAAACATTTGACAAAGTGTTGTGTGTATCCGTTCAGTGCTGTCCAAAGCTTTGAATCTTGCGACCTTAATAAAAAGTGTTAGAAGTAAGAAATGGCTGAGAATCGTACACAAATTGAAGATATTTTATACAATGCAATAAGGCAGTGTTTAGTCTCAGTTGTATGTTACACAGGTCTTAAAGTTATTTGGGAATGTATGGCTTGTTGTGTGTGTACTTGTGTTAAGTTGACAAAAGCTTGTGGTTAATTGTGGTTAAAATAGTAGGGAAACTGCCTTTGAATAGAATGCAGAGTTTTGAATTATAATGCATTCATCAAAATACAAAACCAGTGAATCCTGCAATCTTTTTCAATTGCAAGAAATTGTATTAAGGTATATAATTTTGCTCTATGATATTGCCTTTTCTTAAAATTTGTCTCAAAACATTAAATATTTCAGATTTGATGAATTTATACATACCTTAGAGTATTTTACCTTTGGAAAATATAAGGTTATCCTTAATATGGGAGCTTAATGACAATTCTCTATTTTTGGGTGGGATTTTATTCTCAGAGCAAACTACAGAGTTATTGGCATAGGAGAGAAAAAACTGCATTAAGGTAATTTATTAGAAAGTCTGTGCTTAAATTATCATTTGTTTTAGTACCCATTTAATAATAAGCGTGCCATGATAAATGGTTAAAAAAGTTATGGTTTGTCACAATTATAAATTTAGTTCTAGCAAGGAGGACTTTTTTTTTTTTTTGCTGTTGAATTGGTGCTAGTTTGTCTATTTGGCCACACATATAATATTTTTAGGGAGACATGTAGGAGTTGACTGTTCCAGTGAACGCTTTTTACAAAAATACCTCTAAAGATTTGTGTTAGGTAATGGTATTTGTGGTCTGAATGTTTTTGATGAGCTTTCGTATGATTTCACTATTGACTTGCAGTTTCATATCTTTTTATCCTGTAACACGTGTGAGAACAGCATTGAAGGCTTGTATTTGTAGTTTTTGGAAAGGAATTTAAGATGGTGCCTGTTTTCCCATCAGTTTTCAAGTATGCACGGGTGCATCATTAATCATAGGAAATGCAAAAATAAATGATCCAGTCCCATTGGATTTTTTAATATGAACACTCACCTTTTCGTTTTTTATATATATGTATGTATATATATATATATATACAGTTGAGGTATTTAGGTAACCCCTAACCTTTTGCTTCAACAAAGAAGTACAGTATAAAAATATTACCACACTTTTCATGTGAGCAGTTCTTGAGAGGGGGGAAGAAAAGCCCTCTAGATGAATATTCGTTGAAAAAAAAAGTTGTGATACAGAATGTCTTAACTCAGCCCCAATACAGTACTTGAGGACCACCAGTGTGTAAAATTGAAAGCACATGATTTTTGAAGCACCAGAAAAGGTTTGTAATTGATTAGCGCTGCTGGAAAGTATTGAAGTACAGTGAATTTTGATTTGTGAATGGTTCTATTCAATAAAGATTAATTTTGTGTTTTTGATAAAATCTTAGTGCCTTCGATGAGTTAGCTGCCCCTATCCTACCGCCTGCTGTTTATTTAACCATCAAATATTTCAGTGTTCTTTTAACAAACTGGAACATTTCTATCTTACTGAATTTAACTTTAGCATGACTGATTTAAACAAGTCAGACTATCAATGATTAGCTTTCAGGATGTAATTGAATAAATAGATTAATTTTTTTGTTCTTTAAAAACTAAAATACACATTAATGTAATCATGTATATTTCATGCTTTTCTTATAATTTAGGCACTATTAGGAGGGTCACACAGACTATGATCTTTTCTTGATTTCTTAATTTTTACATTTCAAAACATTTAAAAAACTACAGGAAGTATTTAACAAATCTTCATGTAAAATTAAAATTAGTAATAACTTAAAATAATTTATAAGTGTTTGGGAATCATGTTGATGTTTCTAGCTTTAAGGTGATCTATGTTTTTTAGGGCTTTGGAATTTAGCTCTTGTTTTAAAGGCAAGTTACAAAACTTTGGCACTATTAAATTTTGAAACTGTTATTGACATAGGCTGCATCTATTGCTTTGGATATCATGTTCCGGAATTGTGTTCAGTTAGTTCCTGTGGTCAGTTACAAAGAGTGTGTGAAGAAGTTTAATTTGTTTGCTGATCTATTTTCTTAAGTTCATGAATCACATCTATCATTTCTGGCAGGCTGTATTAGAAATAATGAACAGAATTTGAATAGCACAGATTGAAAATTGTTTAATTAAAAGTAGAGTATAATGAGATCAACATTTAGAATCTCTCTCACACACACACACACACACACACACTCACGCACACAGACATGCTTTCACTCTTCTTTGGGGAGAAGCATTTGGTCAGCATGTGCTTTGTCCCTCATCTTGAAAGGGTTATACTATTTTTTAGCTATTTTATAAAATCAGGGCATATACCCAGGACATATCTTGAAATGGTTAATGATAATCATTAAATAAATAGGAATATGAAGCCCGGAGTGAGGTTTTAGACTTCAAATAGATTATAGAATGTGGAAATGTTTGCAGTGTGATCATATTCTGTAGAGAATGTCCACACTCATCTGTAATTAGGGTTAGTAGGTTCATGCTATGTTTTCTATCTATGGTGTAAGGTACATTTTCTTTCTCTTTCTTTTCTCCCTTCCTTCCTTCCTCCCTGCCTGCCTGCCTGCCTGCCTTCCTTCTTTCTTTCCTTCCTTCCTTCCTTCCTTCCTTCCTTCCTTCCTTCCTTCCTTCCTTCCTTCCTTCCTTTCTTCCTTCCTTCCTTCCTCCCTTTCCTCCCCTGTAAGTGTGGGAAGGCAAGATTGAGATTTAATTTTTGGAATAGGAAGAATTAGTTGTACTCTTACATATGACATGTAATAGAAGATAATATCTTTTTAGTTTGTTATTATAGCTTGCTAAGCAACTTAAGGTTGTAAGTTGCAGTGTAAAATAAGTTAACAGTGTCACAAAAATTTACAATTTCTAGTGTGAAGCAATAGGGAGCATTTTCACATTTTCTTTGTAACAGCCTTACTTCTAAGCTGAAGTATTCTTTGAAATTTGTTCCTGGTCTGCTTAGAAACATTTTTTTTTTAAAAAATGAGATTTTTCTAGAAGTGCAACTTTACTGCCTCATTTGTCCATTTTAAGTAATGCCTCCATATAACAATATTTTTAGACATTTTTTATTTCTCCCGAATAGTAAGAACAAAAATTCACAAGTATTACATATTATTATTAGTGGGCTATAATGAAGTCTAGTTATATTTTTATTCTGCCTCCTTAATACATGATTTTTTGAGTAATGCCTAATACTCACTATTACATTTAAAATATTTTATGATTGTTAAATTACATGTATTATAACTGAGGGGGCCTACTTACAGCATTTTTGGTAAAATACGAAGTACATGTCTTCATCTTGTAAGAGAACCTATTTTCTCCCTGTCAGGTTTAATTATTTCCCTTTAATCTCAGCTGGGACTGATCCTCTAGTAGTGGCCAGTCACAGTGTGTGAAGTAGGAGGAGGAAAGAAAATTCCAATTGTTAGTTGAAAATTACAAAGTCAAATTAGTACAGGTATACGCAGCAAAAGGATTTAATTTAAATGAAAACAGGAACATTTGAAAACATAAACTTTAAGTTTGAACATGTTGGAGATCATAGAGAATCCTGTGAGTGTTTAGATGTTTTGTTGTACTATGCAAACTGATGAATTTGAGGTCATTTATGTATCTGTAGCAACATTTAACTTGGAATTAAATATGAAGGGACTATATTATGCCTGTTTTATTTTGAAGTCCAGCATGAGTTAATAGGTAAAGCTCTTTTAAGTCATGCCGACTATCCTAATGGAGCTTTATCTTTCATAAGGTTTATGTTTTGTGGCAGGTCAAAGAATGATTAAAACAATCAGTTATTTCAGTGCGTGCTGTATATTTATAGCAAGTTCTGTGTATGAATAATACAGTATTAATTCAATTAAGATTATATAATGAACAGCAATTCCAGATAAATTTTACAATTCTGTGAACTTATTATCCTATGTTATTGTAAAGATTCTTTTGAAACTGGCTATGAGATCATATTTATATGACTTTGTTTAGAAACAAACTTATGTAGTTATGCACATTAAAAGTTTACATGAATTTTAAAAAATTGAGCTTGTTAAAATATGAACTGTATTGTAAGTTTATTTCTCTGTTATACATGGTAGACCATAATACTGATATAATTATGTGGTCTGTTATTTTGAAAATTACTTCCTTTTTGAAGTTTGCTCAAATATTGGGAGCTGCCGGAGTCGATAATTTATGATTTTTTGATTAATCTAGGGTCTAATTTTATTCTAGTAAATACTAATGAGACTATTAAACTATTTCTCTTACTGTTCTAGCATCCTGATTTCTGTAACTGTAGAAAACATGTTGATTAATGCAGAATAACTTAAGTTTGTCTATTTGAAGTCATTACTCTGAGAATTAGTTGTTACACATACCAAATGCAAATATGAACAGCAATTTCACTTTTAGTGCAACAAAATATCATTGTTGTTATGATATTCAACATACTGTTATTTGGAAAAGCTAGCAGCTTAAGAAAAAATTTTTATGTTCAATAGGTTTATATCTTAAAGGATTTTAAAATATAACACTTACCCCAAAAGAAGTTTTGCTGACATGGTGTCACTGTGCTGAAGAGGCTGTTTGATGCCATAGTCCCTCCTTTTTTTTTCAGATAGAACTTGTACCCTCTCTTGTAAATACTGCTTGCAGCCTTAAACTGAAAATACAAACCATACCCAAACTTTGTTTTAGTTTTACAGTATGTCTGGAGTACATAGACTTTATATTTATTTTTTTCTGTCAAGAAATTATGTAGCTGGTAACATGTGAAAAGCAAGGAAACAAAACAAAAAGAGAATGAGCAAATATTTGAAGGACCTACTATTACTGCATAGACTGTGGTTAGAGAGCACTCACTGACTCTGTTGGTCTCGGTGGCTGGTAGTGACCTGCGGAGATTAACCATTTAAAAACCAGAGACTTGCTGTCCTCCTGGAGAAAGTTTGCACCGCACTTGTGGTTCTGTGGTTGTTTGTGAGGCGAATGAAGCATTCACACAATCCAAAAAAGCAAAAGCTTTAAAACTCCTTTTTTTGCAAGCACTATTACTGGAGAGAGAGAATCATGTGGTTTGTGACCTCACAGTACTCAAAGTAAAGTGGGACTGCCTACCACTGTGGCTTTTCCCCCTTGCTCTTGCTTGCTCTCTCTCTCTTTCTCTCTCTCTCTGACAAAAGGCTTGTGGTAAGGCCTTTCCTGGCATCCAGAAGGATATAGCTTTTTAATTTTTGTGACTCATGAGGATTTGGATAGAATACAAATGCTGAAGGAGCCCAAACTCCAGGTTAAGCATTTGTAGAACAGAGCTCTGCAGTTAAGGGCTTTCTTTTCTGCCACCCTCCCCACCTCTTTCCCCCCCTCCCCCTTTTAGTTCATTATTGTGTCTGTGGCAAAGTGAACAAAATTGGCTCAAGAGGCTGTGTGAAATTCTGAACAACAGTGATGATTTACAATAATTTACATCTTTGGATTGTATCACATTCTGGGATCTGCTTCGTATTTGCTTGGTGGCTGGATTCCTTCTGTTTTCCTTTTTCTTGTCTTCTTAAACTTGTGAATCTGTAACTCATTTTAAAAAAAGTTTACCTTTCTTAAGGTCTGGTTGCAAACTGCTTGCTGGACTTGACTGTAATTGGTTGTCATAAAAGTGTTAGTCTGGGGATTCCTTTACAGATTTTAAATCATGTTTGTCAAGCTTGTTATCAGTATTAGCTGTGGGCTCTTAGAACACAGTTGAAATGTAATTGCTATCTTTTATATTAGGCATATATCCTTATCTCGGGTTAGTTTGATGATCTTAAATGAGTGATAAGAATTGTAACATAATTTTCCTTATGATTATAGTTTTGTTATTCAAGGAAATGTGCTTTTTAAAAATAATTCCTCATCGAGTAGCCCAGACATTAGCAGGTTATTATTATTGTTACCAAATCTTACTATAACTTAGATGATTTAGTGTAGGTTTTCTAAATTCAGAGTGGAGTGGGTTAACAGAAACCCTGTTTTTGTGTTTATAATGGAAGCTTTGAAATAAATTGCAAAATGCTGTGTGTAGTAAGGAATAATGCACAGACAGAGTATGTTAGTCGTCTCGATTTGCTAATTCTGATTCAGAAGAAAATTGAAAACATCTTTGGGAAACTATCTCCTTTTTTACCCCTTTGGACATGTATGTATAGAACTCATTTTCCTATTAGGATGATTATATATCATAGACAGTGAATTTTGTATTTATGAATAGAGCTTCCTGTTTTCATCAGTTGGGAACGATGGGGTATTTTTCAACAAAAATTATAAAGGCGAACAGGCCAATTTTCTAGGCATTTTTTGCCATTTATCCACGCCACTCTGAATTTGCATGTTAGGCTTCTTTCTGGTGTGGTAGTCACTAGGAGTGGCATGAAGTAAATGACTGTGATGGTGGGTGGAGACAGTGAATCACAAAAGATTATTTGGGGTATACATTGGTGGAAGGGCTGGGGAAACACTTTGGGAGGATGTTACATCTAAAATATCCTTGTGTGTGTTCTTCCTAGTACGGTTCATTATCTGCTTTTGGTTTATATTAAAGATAACTTTACAAACATGTTTATAAATTGCTGTAAAAGGACTGATCTTTCCAGAATGCTTTGGAATGACATGATTATGATTTTAATCTTTTATTATTCAAGTATCCAGAACTTTTTCAGACTTAACTTTTAGTGGTCAAAAAATACACATTGGTGCTTTATTTTAAGTATGGGTTTATCATGACTTATTGTGTATGCAAGCAAGTTTTACAGTGAAAAGTAAAAGTTTTCATGTACCAGGCAGTTCTTCATAAGAGTTTTTTCTCTTTCATAAATAAAAGTATGCTTGTATGATCCATATCTCTCTCATTATTATCCAAAGTAAATACAAGGAGAGTTTTGCTCATCTAATTTGTGGAATTTCCAAACATAGTTCCATATGCATGTGTGATAGCCGAACCAGGCAGCTGAAAAAGTTTAGGTAGCTGCAAATGGTTTTCTTCTTTTAGGACACGTTTATGGTTTCTGCCTCAGAGTTCCCTGACACATCTTAAAATCCAAACTTTTTGCTGAGTATTACTTCCTTCAGGTTTTAACAATTGTATGGATTTCTGCTCTCCAAATTTACTTCATAGAAATTTGAATAATTTTTTTTTTCAACAGATTGTCTTTTAACTGCTTGTTCTCTTTTTGCAGGTAACTTTCCTGCATGTAATCTTTGGGTCAAGATCATTACTCTTTTGTGTTTGAGTTTAGTACATACTGTTGAATATATCTTTTCTGTCTTGTGTGAGACCCGTGAAATTGTGGCAGGAGAAAAATAGTAAAATCATGTGCCTTAATATTTGTATACCCATTATCTACACATTTTTTTCTCTCTAAATTGAAAATAGATCATCTTTGGAACAAGTATAACTTTGTGGTAAATTGCTGAAAACAGCAGTGATAACTGGTATACATTAGATAACTGGCAGAATGTTTCATTAGAAATGACTAACTGCATGTGATGAAGAGACTGATTTCTGAAAAGCCACTGCAAAGAATGCTCTTGATTATAGATTTATACCCTGCTTATATTCAGAAATGGACACCACAGAGTTTTCTGGTTGTTATTTTGCTTTTGGAAGACCCTTAAAACTTTGTACTTTTTAGGGCTATTTTAATATTTGCTGTGTTTTAGAGACAAGTTTAACATCACTGCATCATTTTGTCTTTAAATGCTATGGAAAAAAATGTAGCTTTGAACCAAATCATTTTGAAAAAAATCAAGAAGTGTCTTACTTCCTCATTATTGTATAGTTAATAACATTTGTCAAGTCTTTAAAGATAGCAACACATTCAGAAAATAATAGCTTAACAATGTTTGAAATGCCAGTCTTCACTGTTATATTTTGAATTTTTATTTTCTCAGATTGCATTTTTATTATTTTTCTTTATCAATATTTTATTCTTTGCATTTTTAAAAGATTGTTTCAGACTTCTGTTTGCTGCTATTTCTTTTCCCTTCAGTTGAGGTAAGAATCTTACAAACTGTGAAATTCCTAATTTGTGTTACAGCATTCAGTGAGGTTTTAGTAAGGCATTTTCTTAATTTATTGTTTCAGCATGATATGTGATTGTTTTTCTAAGTTTTTGGCTAATTTTATTATTTTTCCAATTGATATATTACTTTTTGAAAAACTTTTTGATAACATAATACCAATTGGACTGTATATTACCAACTTAAATTTTAAAAATTAGAGAATATATAGTTTCATATATTAAATTATGTCTGAGATACTCTTTTTTCCTTATTTTAGTGGGTGTGTCTTTGTACACAACTGTGTGCATATATGTCAGTTTGTGTGCATGTGCAGGTATTATTTTGTGTTGGTTTCTGTGATGAGAACATTTCTTTCCTGCATAGTTTGTTTTAATCATGTTAAAACCCAAAGTGGCACCATTTCCTTGTTTGAATGCTCCATTTGGATAATTTTAGTAGCTGTCCGATCAGATTCTATGGAAATTGTATGCTAAAGAAGAAAATACTAAATCAATTTCAATCTCTTCCTTTTCTCTTCTCCTTCCCTCTTTCCTGTCTTCCTTGGGCTTCTTTGATTTTTCTTTCCCTGTTTTGATGTTTCTGTGCAGTCTCAAAGTAAATTTTTAAGGTTGTGGTAGTGGATATTGACATTCATCTTCTCCATAAAGACCTAGTAGATTTGAACCTCTTAACTTTCATTGCAGATTGTTAGATCATGATATATTGTATCTCATTTGTTAGTCTTGGCATCTGATTACAGATTTCCCTTCTTGCAATTTCTTTAATTCAGAGTTCCTTGAATTCTTCCTTTGTGTTAATTTACTTTAACACATGTTTCGTATGACAACATTTTATGAACGTGACTTTGTTTATTTTTGATTATTCTTTGAAGTATGAAGTGATCCATACTTGCTTAATGTAACTGTGTAAATCTTTTTTTTCTTATAATTATTAGAATAATTCATCTTGTACTGCTGTCATTTTTGTAGGAATAAGAAAAAGGCGAGAACTTGCAGAAAATATGGGAAAAATGCTCATATGACAGCTGAGGATGTGGCTGGAGTAAAGCAGGAAACTACTGCCCACAATGCAATGTTACATACACTGCCACTTAATACAATTTATATCAAACATGCTACTGACAAAACCAAAGAAAAATAATATCCCAACTATGCTTGTTAATATGTCTAGGGAAAAGTAGAGCTAATTTTTTTAGAATCTTTGTATTTAGTGTATATAGTAAATGAAACTGTGGAGCATCATGGTCCTTTAGAGCTTGCTGTTTTTTTTTTTTTGCCTTTGTGCTTGGAGACTTGGGTGTGGGTGAAACTCTTATATTGTGAACCTTCTAGATATCTAGTATGCTTTTCTTAAAGAAAGTATAAAGTGCACCCTCTCTTTCTCATTTGACTTTTTGCAGTATTAAGTAATGTTAGAGGATATTGTCATCTAAAAGGGAAAAAGTCAGTTTAATTTTGAGATATTATAATTATCCAAACTTTATATATTCAGGTGCATTTCTTTACAGTTTATTTTAAATTGTCTTTTATTTCTGAGCTGGAGTGTGGAACTTTTCCATTGAGACATACTAGTTTCCAAGTAATTGTTTTTCTTGATATTTGTTTACATTAATCCAACCATGGCTCATCTGATCAGTCTGTATGTCTTACTATAATTTACAGCAAAAATGTGAGCACCTTTTATAATGAAAAGGAGTTGAACAAGATAGCAATTCATTTTCTTGAAAGTTACGTTTTAATAAGTTAACGGTCTCTGTACATCTTAATTTATTTGCTTCGCTGTCAGACTTATGCATGTCTGACAGCTTTGGTATCAATATTTCAGATGAATTTTGAGGTTTTATAAAGCAAGTTGTTTAAGGTTTAGATAGATGCAATTTTTGAATTGATAAATAATAAATAAGTAGAAATGTTATTGATAAGAAAATATTGTGAGATACT